CATAAAAGCATATCCAAAATTAATCCCACAAATGGCACATATATGCAATCATTGACATAAACATGATCCATAAGGATTAAGACATGCAAATAATATCATATAACACGAAAGTTCATACACCTCTAATCATGTCATTCTAGTTCACCTAAGCCAATTTTAGACATAATTATCATGATACGACAACCCGATAAGTGATTTCCGAGTATTTCACCTACCGAGTATTTTTTAAGAGAGTGAGGGGGACAGTGATTTCCGAGTATGATAAAGATTTTAGTGCGGATGGGAGATGGAAGCCTGTTGACAAGGATTATTACTATTAATACGACTCCGAGAGCTTTGAATTTAAGCTTGTTTTTGTCGGGAAGTCTCTGCCCTTCCTTTGTTGTAGAGAATCTTTCAGTCTAAATTGTAGCTCGACACTTTAGTTCTGGTTATAGATGGATGAGATGCCTAGTTATATTCTCTTATGACTTGAAGCCCATGCAGTCAGCTTTTGGCAACATTCAGCTTGTAGAAGTATATTCACCAGGTTAACATGACGAAAGCTGCAAAACAGATAGTAACTTCTTAACAAGTTCAATTCAGCAGAGCACTTGAAATCATTAGAAAGAAGGTTAAACTTGTCAAGTACAGGCTCGTGACTAAGACATTCAAGAATGCTGACAAAACTGGGATTTCTAACACATCATTGATACAGCCACTTAATAGTTAAACCAGCATTAATCTTCATTTATTTTCAGTCTTTGCTCTCAGAACGGCGAAGTCCAGCTTTTGGTGCTTCTGCCTAAAAGAAGCTTTCTTGCTCTTCTTCCTTGTTGACTGATCTCCCCCTTCAACGGCTTTTGCTGATGTATTAAAGTTTTCTGTTTCAGAAACTACATCAGGCTGTTTCCTTTTCAGGTCTCCACTTCCATGAGAATCAGGCATGGCTGTGTCCGAGCATTCTGCACCATCCGGCGACAACCCATTTTCTCTACCAAACGCAGAACAAAAATACGGAGCGTTTTCAAAATCTACTTTGTACACCAAACACAACTAAAATTTCAAGTGAACAACTAAGAAGAGTGATCTAAATGAGTGCTTCCACTACCTAGCAAGTGAAAAAGGAAGAGTGATCGGAAGGAAACAAATCGGACACCAACCTTAGAGATGCCTTTGCTTTTGTGTGACCACCAGATGACGATGCTGGTTCTGGAGAAGCAAGGTTCGCTGTTTCTTCATTTAGTTTCTATCAAGACAACAATGTTCGAAATGTGAGAGTGGCATAAGAACCCTAGAGAGGGGCACGCCAATTTTTTTATTAAGTGGCGGATGAAAGATTTAGAGGCCTCACAGACCCTATACACTCACATCGACAGAAGGATTGAAACTACCAAATGACAACCGGCCTATAGCTGCAGTAGGGTGGGGATCACCTTCCATTATTACCACACTGTATATGAATAACAGGCAAATACCAGAAATATGCGTCAGACCCTCTCAATGTAGAGAATATATGAGATCAACGCAGAAGACATTGCAGCAGTTACAAGTAGAAACACAATCCTAAACCGCCACAGATCCTAAACAAACCCCTCGAAACTTCCACCCCCCATGTTGTCTCGTACCATTGGATGAGATGCACAAGAATAAAGCTTAAATTCAATAGTTAACCTCCAGATGCCTGAACTGCTGGAATGTAGGAATGCACTCATCTTTCCTCGGACCATAGGGCTGCGGTACTAACGAAAGACAGTTCTCAAGGACCAAACTTGGAGATGGTGGCAGACTTTTGTACAAAATCAACAAAACAAAAAAAAAAACAATCGCTTCTCTATTCTGAAAGTATAACCAACTAGAATATGCTCCGGAGACATACCATTTTCTAATACCTCCCGGTGAGCGGAAATTCCCATCTGGTTGAACCTCTTCTTGTTTTTGGGGTTTCACTTCTTTAAGGGCTCCCCTTTGCATGAACTATTGCGGAAAACAGAAACGAGCAAGAAATTCAGACAAGGAAGTGAACGAGCAATCAACAAGGTGAAGAACCCAGCTTCTATAACCACGCAAATCCAAGCAAAACCCAAAATTTCAAAGCCCTATTTCTCACCTTCAAGTTCTTGAGAGTGCTAGATATCTCGCGCTTCGCCATCTCCGTGCCCTATTCGAAACGAAAACCGACCGAATCGCTAAAGTTCCTCGCTTAACCTCCTTACTTCGTCGACCGCTGCTTCCCGGCAGCGACTTTCTGGGGCTGCTGCTGTCCTTGCCACCCCACTTGGGAAAAATTGGGGAATTGAAACGGAGGAGACGCTCTCAGTCAAAATTAGGGCTCCAAATCTGCAGATTAAAATCCTGTTCGGCAACGGATTGAGGAAGTGACTTTGTCATTTCTATTAATCAAGCCCAATACACACTAAAAAGCCTTTTTCCACGAGCCAAAAGCCCAATCGGAGAATCCGGGAGAAAAATCGGACGGCTGTAAAGGAATCTCATCTTTCGTCAGATACACAGTTTCATATGGACACGGTCACAGCAAGATTAGAATCCCTTAACCTATAAAACAAACGAAGAAAGAAGCAATCGAACGCTCTTCTTCTTCCTCACTCGACCGACTGTGCTAGTAGTCGACCTCGGACCGATCGATCCAATTGTAGCTTGATTTCCGATCGAATTTTTTCTGGGTTTTGCTTCTTTTTTTTGTTTCTGAGCGATCTGTCTCTGGTTTCTTCGGGGATTTGTTGATGCTTTTCTAATACACAGTTTGCTAGACAGAGATGGTACGGCGATAACTCAATGTATTCATGTTTGTTTCGCCAGAATCGTACATGGAACAATTTCATTGTGAATTGTGGTTCATGGGTCCTTCGATTTTAATGTATCAGCAGTTCTTGAGCAGCATAATTTCATATTTGAGTTGCTGAAGGGTTGCAAAGAAGTACTGCTCGATTGATTTCTCTTGTTGCTTTTCCTCGTTGTTTGGACAAATGCAGGATCGCCAAGACCCTTCAAGTTCAACATTTGAACAGTTCTACCGCTGTTACCCTGTCGCTTTCCTGGATAAGGTTGGGGAAAGTTGTTTATAGTACTAAGATGACTAGAGGAGTATTTTTAACGCTACAATCGCTTGTCTTTCTAGTCTGCAAGACTGCAACTTTGTCTCATATCGTTTCTAACGTTTTGCAGCCGCATCTGGAGAAAGGAAACAAAGGTTTGGTTATCTGCTAGTTTCAAGTTCTATGAGTATCGGGGCATGGTTATCTCAGCTGCGTGTCTGGTTACGTCGTGCAATTCAGATAGCCTTTTATATGTGTAATGTGTTTGTTGTTTCTTTTGGCTGCAGTTATCATGCCACCCTCAGCTCTTGAACGACTGGGTAAGTAGATCATATAATCAGATTTTGCTTTTCTATGATTTTGTTACTACTATGAGCTGATTTCTTTTGGGTTTGCCAGCATCCCTTCATATTGACTACCCAATGCTCTTTGAGCTCCATAACCCTTCTATTGAACGAGTCACACATTGTGGAGTTCTCGAATTTGTTGCAGAAGAGGGTTTAATCTACTTGCCATATTGGGTACACTTCTTTCTTATGTAATGCATAATATGGCTGTCCCCTCAAATTGCTACTTACGGACTTAATTCACAGATGATGGAGAACCTCCTCCTGCAAGAGGGAGATCTTGTGCAGCTGAGAAATGCCAGCCTGGAAAAGGGAACTTATGTCAAACTGCAGCCACACTCCACGGACTTCTTAGATGTTTCCAACCCCAAAGCAATGTTAGTGATTTCAGCTGTTTGCAACATAAGGATCCTTTTTACTACATTGCATATATTTTTGGTTTCCTTACTTAGCTTCATCTTGTGAACTCATCAGTTTGGAGACCTCCTTGAGGAATTACTCTTGTTTGACAACCGGTGATACCATCTTGGTTGCATACAACGACAAGAAGTACTACATCAATATAGTGGAGACAAAACCCTCTGCTGCAGTGAGTGTTGTGGAAACAGATTGTGAAGTAGACTTCGCTCCACCTCTGGATTATAAAGAACCTGAGAAACCTGCTCCTCCTTCAAAGGCGAACAACGCCCCACCTGAAGGTTTTTTCTTCTCTTCTCTATATTTCAACTTTGTGGGCTAGCTATGGTTTCACTACTTATTTAAATCATGAACATTGTAGTTCTAGAGGAGGAGCCACCGTTAAAGAAGTTCAATGCATTTACCGGTTCATCAAGGCGACTTGATGGCAAACAGTTAGCAGAACTAGCTGAATCAACTACAAGTTCTGTTGTCAAACAACCTCAGAGAGAGGGCAAAGAAAACAGCAATGATTCGAAGTCTTCGTTGGCCTCTGCTTCGGTTCAGCAGTCTGGAAAATTGATCTTTGGTGCCAACCAAAAGCGCCCCCGAGAAAGAGATGAAACCACAAATGTAAGCATTTAGTTATCTTGCCTCTATCTACGGTAAAGCGCTCAAAGATAACTCTCCCATATGAACAGAGCCTTTCTTCTTTCATTTTGCTTGCAGATCCCGGCAAAGAAAAGAAGTCAAGAGCCAGAGAAAGGGGAGCAAGAACCAAAGTTCCATGCATTCACTGGGAAGAAATATACACTCAAGGATTAGTATTTGGCGATAGCTTTTAGCCCACAAGAGATGTAGAGCACAGATTCGTCCGTGTAATAGTTGGCTCTTTCATAGTTCATTTTCTGTGTACACAGTTAAGGGTGTGTATACAGATTGGACCAAATCGGCATCTGGACTGAATCGTACCGAACCTAATATAATTTCATCTTATTATTGGATCCAATGAATATTATAAGTACTAAAGAAAAATGGACCCTATTGACATTTAACCGCAATTTCCGTTAGTTTGGACTGGACCATTGCACATTCCTAAAAACAGTTCAGTAAATACATCCAGAGTTCTTCAATCTTAAAGAAGTCTGAAGTAGTTGGCAGAGTTCCTTAATCTTACAGAACAGAAGTCTGAAGTAGTTGGCATTTTCTTGACGTAACTTTTGGAACGAATTTCAGTTGATATGTATTATTAATGGCATTAATAGTACTAATTATCATCTTAATAATGATAATAATAGAAGTTTAGATTGTACATAAGAGTCCAAAATGGACTGCACGCTAAAGCTTCTACGAGCCATTTTACCATAATCCATACAGCTGAAGGAAAGTCAAAACCTTGAGAAGGTTGACATAAACTGCTAAAGACGAAAGATACAGGTTACTAATAATAATTAGGCGGCACTTCGTAAATGAGGCAGCAGGCTGGTGGATCATTAGCTGGATCCAGATTCCAGACTAAGTACAAACAAAATCCTAGGCCTTCACTTCAGTCTCAATAGCAACTTCTGTGGAGTATCTCATCCCATCTGTTTTATCAGTGGCTGCTGTATCCCACAGCTCTGGCAGAGCTTCCTTGATATTGTGGATGCTCTCCAGGGCGTAATCCGCACCTTCAGTTCGATTGGAAGTGCCAACCTGAACCAAAATACAAATTAGTATGTCGCCAACCAAACAGATTCCAATGGTATGGCATTATAGCAGAACGTTTCTGTCATTGCTCACCCTCACAGTGTGCAGTCCCATTCTTTTCCCCGTCTGGATGTTACGAAGGCTGTCGTCGAAAAACAACTGCAAGACCGTGAAAACAGGTAACTGCTTAGTTTTGCAGCCAGCTTAAGCAAGAGAATAAAAGCAGCCAAGCAAGAGACGAAAGAAAGTCAATGTTACCGTTCGATTAGGGTTGATGGAAGCAATCTTGAAGACCTCTTCGAAAGCTTCTTCGAAAGGTTTGCAGACAACAGGCGACTTGGGGAGAGATATGCCAGCGTTAGGAGCAGCACTGTACTCATTGATGTCGAAGACTTCAGCTGCTTCTTCGTCTTCCACGGCATCATTCCCTTTGGTGGAATCGTTTAAGGTCTCGAAGCACAGGATCTGTTCAAAGCAGTCCTCCAGTCCCAGCCTGTTCAGTACCTTGTCCGCATGAGCTTTGTCTGCATTGGTGAACACCTGCAAAGCAACAAGCACAAAAGGCATCATCAATCAACCAAACTAGAGAATGGAGAAGGTAGGAATGATGGAGAGAAGTAGGGAAATAGTAATAGCACATGAAAGCAAACAAAATCTTACCACTTTGCGGATGGGCAAGCTCTGTAAGAGGTTCCTGAGAACCGGGTCTGGCTTCAAGGTATCATAAGGCAATCGTCCATGTACAAAGCTACAGCATCAACATGAAGATAATACTGGTTATATGACTCCAGCCACGCGTTTTTTGAGAGAACAAGAAACTGGGCAGAAACACAATGGGGTAATGAGTACCTGTGGAAATCATTGTAATCGAATTTATAGCCAATTGCCTGCAGAATAAGTCAAACAGCAAAAGTGTCTCAACTTGGAATTATTACAATATAAAATTATAACATATGGCACAGCCAATTGAAAATCAATCAATTAAGACAATGCCATTCATACATACCCGGAGGCCAGCTAATGTGGTGCCATAGTATTTGTAGAGTGACAGGCACAACTCTTGGACCTTATTTTCCATGATGCCGAGCTTTTCAGTCATGTAATCTAGAGCAAAAAAAAAGTACCATCTCCATCCATTTAGAGTTCTTGGATCAAGTTCACAGACATTAGAACACGAAATGAAGGATATGTTGAATCACCTTGAATATTGTTTGCAACTTCCGGTGCCAGACCAGAACTCAACGGATATAGTGTATCATCCACATCTACACAACCCAGATCAAATGTGTTTCACCATTTCGAACCAGGCAAGTAAAATCATCGAACCCAGAACAGGACGAGCACTAGCAAATGGACTCACCGAATAGGAGACAATCATATTTCTGGCTGAGACCGTTATGCTGCTGATCACCATCTCCGTACTCCATTTCGTTTCTTCTTCAGGATAGGAACAAAACAAACTACTGCAAGAACAAATCAAGCGAAACATAATAGGGGTCATTACATAAAACATCCGTAATCTAATCTGCATTCCCATTCCAAACCGACCCAGCAAAGCAAATCAACTGGAAGGCAAGACGGAGATGTAATCAATCCAAAATCATATTAGAGGACCTCCGGAAGCAAAGTATTACCAGAAAATGCAATCAAAAGAGAGAAGAGAAAATGGGCAACTTCAACTCTTTAACAGTGGGGGAGAGGAGAGAGATATTAGAAATGGAAGAGGAAATGTGGGGTGTTCTCGATTGAGTTTATAACACACCAAATGTTTGGAAGAAGGAAAACGCAATTTCTGGAATTGGATCAAACAAAGGGAAAGACGTAGGTTCTAAGGCAGAGCATTGAGAGGGGAAAGAGAAGAATCCCCCCCTAAAGATTCAAACTTTGACATATCCCTTGGCAGACGCAAATCGGGAATGGCGAACCCATTGGCACTCTATACCATTATTAGGGGAAGCGGAGGGGTAAGAGAAAACGGCGAAGCGCCGGGAGAGACGAAGCATTCTTCAACAGAAAACAAGCACGAAAGAAAGGCAGGAAGTTTGGGAAATGCGAAAATGAAGCAAGGAAACAAGAACAATCAAACTACATTACCGGAAATCAATGGAGGCAGAGAGTTGAACGAAGGCGAATGGAACAGAGACAGAGAGAAGCGAATGGAAATGGCAGAGAGAAGCCGCAACGTACAAGGATCGAACAATGGGAATATAGTGTGGGATTTGGGAGGGTCTTAAATAGAGAGGAAAGGAGGAGAGAGAGTGATAGTTTTTATTTTTCTTTATTTTTTTTTTTTTTTTTTTTGTATGATGATCGAAAAGGAAAGGACTGGAGGTGGCCAGTTGAATGGAAAATTGGAAATCAAATTTTTTTTCTTTTTCTTTTTTCTTTTTCTTTTAATCTGGGAGGAATTGATTGTCAACTGCCTGTCAGTTTCAGTCGACGCTGAGCCTCTTTCCTTTTTAAAGAAAGAAATACAGTTTCCCTTGCTACCCCTAGATAATTTTAGTGCTTGAGATATTTATTTTCACATTTGAATCCAGAAACATCTATTTTCTTTTTTATAAAGTCCAAAAACATTTGTTAGGTACATTTCAATGTTGGATTCCAGGTCTATGTCCTCGTCTCCTCGAGGCTTTTTTTTTCTTGGTGAGAATGCGGAGCGCTTCAAATGCATTCCAACTAGGGGTGTTAATCGGTGGCCGGTTATTTGGTTTAATCGAAAACCCGCATCGAAAAGTCGGTTAATCTATTATTCGAAAACCGATTATATGTGTGCGGTGTCGGCGTCAGTTGCTGTTTTTGAGAAATATGCATAACTGGCGGTTATCGGTGAATAACCGCAACCGTGGTGGTTAACCGCAAAATCGTCGTCGCCCCGCAATCTAGAAGAAAGAAAAAAGATCGAGAGAGGGAGTTGGCGGAACGGGTCGACACCGGGGAGAATGAAGTTGGATCGAGATGGATGAGAAGGAAAAACGGAGAGGCAGATCGAAAAATTTCAGAGAAGATGAGATTGGCGAGATAGGGTAAGAGGGTTTGTTCATATTTTTTCTTGGGAGGAAGAACAGAAGAGAGACAAGGAAGAAGGTAAGGTTGAAGAAGGGTGAGCGGCCGGCTGCGGCGCTTAGGTTTTATTAAGAGAGACTATATACCCCATTACCCCTAGCCCAAAAAATGACTAAATTGCCCCTTGCTTTTTGTTAAAATAACCCACTGGCCGCTACCACCATCGTTCGTCCCTTCCCCCAAACAAGTCAGGTTTTCCCCAAAATGATCCACCCGCCGCTTCCCTCCCGAGTTCTGAACCCTTACACTCCCTGCCGCCCCGCCACCAGCCGTCATCATCACCCGCCGTGGCGTCCCCACCGCCGCCTTCGTCCTCCTGCTCCCAGTCCCAGTAATCATCGATCGTCGCCCCTTCGCCGACCGTCGCCATCGTCGCACCACGCCACCACCTGCCAACGTCCTCCCTCGCTCTGCGATCTCGTCGGTTTCAGCTAACCGCGACACCGTGGCGGTTTTCGGCTAACCGACAAGGCAATCGGTGTCGGTGGCGGTTGTGGTTTTCCGATGCTTCTCGGTCGCGGTTAACCGCGTTTGCGGTTCGGTTAAAACCGAAACCGCACCGCTAACAGCCCTAATCCCAACCTTTCTTCAGTAACTAAATGGGTTGTTTGGATCCCAATAACGTCATGGTACAACCAACAACGCACTATCAGGTGTTCAACAATAGAATGGAAATCGACAGAAAAAGAGCGGCCTAGGTTGGCTAAGTAATCTGCGACAATGTCAACCTGTCAATCTCGTGCGAGCCAGCGTCAAATCTCAGCGACAGTTTTGTAGAGAAGATGAGTAGGCGACTCAATTTGTTGACGCAATTATGCAGAGTTAAAACGGGATTTGAGTATAAGACTGCAATTCACCGTAAAAACAGTAGTTATTCCGGTTCTTCCACAGAAGCCAACAAGTAGCAGCAAAGAGGGTACTATCAATAGCTCGACTACTCCTAGCAATGTAGTGCACCATCCAGTCTTCGAAGTTGAGTCCCAAAAAGTCACCATCTGATTCTTCCTACAGGAAAGCGGCCCGAGTTGCTCTGGAAAACGGGCAGTACGCCAGTACCGGAGCACATGCAGTGTTGTCTCTAATGCGCCTCCACAAATTTTGCAATACAGGCAATAGATTATGATGGAGTTTGAGAAGGAGTGACTCGACTCTAACTACACATTTCCCAATTGATCGCCAAACTTAACCAACGACCGGCTGCAAAATTGGGCAAGAGCTTAATAGGAAAGCCCTCAAACTCCATTCCCAAACAAATTTGATCATTTTCCGGACCTCAGGATTTTCTCCTCATCGAACATCGAATTGGAACATCGACTTACCTGGTCTCTTAATGTCCTCGATGACAAACAAAAGTGTACAATGATCCGATAAATGATGAATCATGGATCCTGGTAATTTTAATACCTGTTATTCTGAGACAAACTCTCTGTCCAACCTCTTGAACCACACGGCTCAGATCCCGCTTGTTATTCCAGGTAAAAGTCGGCCCCTTAAAAGGAAGCTCATGTAGTCCCAAATCATCAACATATCCCCGAAGATTAGCAAAATGACTTGGACGCCATGGAAGGCGACCTTCCTTCTCGTAAGATGGTATTAAAATCCCCAACTATCATGAAGGGAACCCTTAAGTGGGCACACAAATTGGCAATTGGTTGAAGTTGCAACGTCTTCATAGTACAATTACAACTCAAGTAAACGAAAATCACCACATAATCCAATCGATCTTTATTCAAATTCAAAGCCACCGGTAGAGTGAGCAACATCTACTAAAAAACAAATCTGAGTGATGAAAACCTAATTGCCGTTTGGCTAAGATCAAGTGTATCAAGTAAACCATAGATTAAATCCTATGATAACTAGGGTTGGGAAGGAAGGGGGAAAATCCACCCTCTAAATTATTTATTTAAGTTAGGTTTAAAATAATTCAAAATTTCCCTAAGTATTCTTAACTAACCAACAACCACTAATATCCCCTAAATAATTACTAACTACTTAAGATTAACTAATAATCAACAGTCACTTAAACAACTTCTTAAATTTAGTGGTTTAACGATGTGAACTCATTCTCAAGACAGAGAAGAAATGTTTTGGAATCACAATTTATGGGGATATGATTCAATGAAATAAAAGCACATACTGATATTTAAAAAAATTATATTCTATGTTCCTTTTTCAAATCCTTTTTTTTTAAAAAACAAACAAGGATCAATTCTCTCGTTCTGAGGATTAAAACATCAATCAATAGTATAATTTAGAGGATGGAAATTGGTTGAAATTAGGGATGGCAATCAAATCCATGGTCGCGGGTACCCGACCACCCCCGACCCAGTCAACGTGGGGAATCCCCGCTTTGACCGGGTATGGGTAAAACCCGCAAAAAGTTTGATGGGTATGGGGCGGGTATGGTTTTAGCCTCCCCCGCCCCATACCCATACCCATACCCATACCCGCCCCACCAAGAGAATTTCTTCACATATCAAAAAATATGTGGATTAAATTGTAATCTATCAATGATGATGATGATAACTCGAGAAAATAAATAGTAGAAATGCAATTGAGTAACCATCTTAATCAAAACCTAATTCATTTCCCTCAATTCTCCTTCCACTCTTTCACTTTCCCCCTTGTCAACAAGATTATGTTAGTTAATTATTACTTAGTAAATGTATCAAGAGTTAGAGCATAATAATTTAAAAAATATTGTAGTCTATATTATGTATTAATGGATGTTTTAGGATCATATTCTTTGAATCGAATTTAGAAAATAACCGTGTTTTGTTGACTTCATGTATAATAGATTTGTTTATGGTTATAATTAAAAAAAAATTTGTAAGTTTTAGGTATAATAATGTTGGATGTACGGGGATGAGTATTATCCATGGGTACCCGAAACCCACGGGTATGGGAATGGGTTTGCAAAACATTCCCCCGCATGGGTATGGGGCGGGTATGGGTGTGGGTATTTGAATATGGAGATGAGAATGATTTAGGTAAACCCACCCCAAACCCGCCCCATTGTCATCCCTAGTTGAAATATAGATAGAGAAAATGATATCTATTCAATGGAACAGCCGACGCGTTTCCACATATCCCACCGTCCACATCATGCTCATCCTGCTGCCGCCACGTGCTGGGCACATCACAAATGAGTTTACTCTTCTTCCCATCTACCAGATTTTGCCAGGTGTGTGTGCTAAGGATTTTCCTACTCTTTAATTATGGGCTAACGACCTTATTTGCAGTAGGGCCCCAGCCCAACCCAACCTCCCGTGCCCATGCCTATGCTTGCTAGTTACGACTCTTCATCATAACTTATATACTTGGTCCACATTGTCTCAATTTTTCGTTGAATTTTCTATTTGAGGAAGTGTTTGACTAGACATTTACTAGACCAATACTAGACAGTATTTGACACCTTTGTAGTTTTTGCCCTCCTCTTTCCTAGCTTTTGGTCATCTCAATTTCTCTTTCTCGTTGAATTTTCTATTTGAGGGAGTCTTGACTATACATTTGCTGAACACCCACAACTTGCACACAGTTATGTCAGCCAAGTGTCTGAGGAACCAATCGAGTTTATGTATTGTCTCGTCCTCATAAACCTCCACGATCAATTCATTCTCTTCTCTCAATAGATACAACACAAAATAAAGATTACGACGCTCGTGAAATTCCATCACCGTTTCCGGCGAATTCATTCGATCTACACTCAACATCTGATGAGTTGGCATTCGAAAAAAATCATAATCCATCACCTCATGCCCAGACAACAAGCAATGGTACTTCGTTCTCATAAATAGTTCTCCTTTGCGCCAACACGAAATGCATTCCTCGCAAAGACAAACCGCATGAAAACAACCATCCATAAATTATTGCGCAACTAATCAAATTTTACAACGTCTCTGGGGAGAGGGAGTAAGAGGGGCTATGCAAAGAGACGGCTCAATGCAGTAATCCAATCAGTCGAGATGTACAAACAGAAACACCAAGAGTGACGTTCAGAGGTTCAGGCAGGTAGTGCAAGAGTCTTAACGCGTTACAGTTTGTGTGCTGGGTGTGGAATGGAGAATATACCCTGAAAAGAAATGTGAACTCACCTGATGCCATACGGGCATTGTCTTCCGCCATAGGTTCACTGGCCCCAGCTCCAGTATCAAATAGTTCAACCCTCTTGTTAGTACTCATGTACCTGCAGTATCCCTCACTTAGTAACAGAGCCCACAAGCTTGAAACTGCCATATAACAAAGGGGTAAGACAAGCATGGAAGGTAAGGGCTTACGTTTTCCTCAAGGCCACATAGGAATTCAGCTCTTTAACCTACAACGGTGGCAAACAATGAGTCCCAGTTCAGGGATGCCACCCCCAGAAGTTAACACACACTTTGCAGAACATATTGACCAGGTTAGCATGAGGAAAAGGAAGACTTGGAAACACATACCATGGATTGCTTCTCGTCATTAAGTTGCTTAGTGACCTCGGGTGGATTTCTGGTCCCCTCATCTTTGATTTCACTTTCGAACTCCTTGATCAATCTGCAGATAGCGTTGTAGTGGGAGTCAGCCAGCCAAGTGAAAAGGGCAAAAAAAAAAAAAAACACAAGACAAGAGTTGCTAATCCATTCTATGCTATACCTTTTGCATTCTCTCATCCTGCCAGTAAGCTCCTCGAGCTGCTTACTCTGCCGATTAGAATCTTTAATCTTATCAAGCCTCTGGAACCCATTTCTGCGAATTCGAAATCGTGTGGGGGAATAGAATCAAGGTCAAGCGAGCAAACAGGTATGGGCAACACGACCCATGAAAGGGAAGGTTAATTAGAACAACGCAAATACGCAATACAGATAAATGCGGCACAAAGAAGCGAAGAGATTTCATTTAATAGCCCAAAAAAAAAACAAGATCAAATTGAACCCTAGGAGAAGCAGCAGGATGAGGAAATGAGAGAAGACATACGAGAGAGCTCGGAAATTGTCGTTGATCTCGCCGTGGATCTGCTCCATCTGAGGAGTCATCGGCAAGTTGGTCGCCATTTTTGGGGGGGGAAAGTGGAGAGGCGGAGTCAGAGAGAGAAGTAGCACAGTCCGCCTTGGGATTTCAGATGATGAGTAGCAGCGTTGGGCGTTGATGCTGCCGGCCGCTAGCGTGGGAGGCGGGGGACTGGGCAGCGATGGCGACGTTTCAGAGGGGAATTGAGTGAATCGAGTTGGTCGGTGACGGTGAGGGAGATGGGACAAAGATGCGGTGCGGCAGTGATCTCCGTCTTCGCCCGGCGGACATAGAAACTAACAAAGACACCGGAGGCAGCTAATCGATTTCAGTAATCAAACGTTCGTTGCTGCCGTCATGGGCTCGCTCGCTCTCTTTCTTCTCTTCTCTTCTCTACCATGGTTCAAAATCTGTGCTGTTTTGGGTGTTTGGTTGTGGAATGGATGCGCTGTAAACAGAAGTACAGAACAGATCGCTTCGTCGGAGTCGTTTCTTTTTTTTCTTTTTCTTTTTTGGGTTTGCGATTTTCCCTTTTCTGCTGCAGTGGGTTGGCTGGTTGGGCTCTGACCGTATCATTGAATCCGGTTACTGAGTTGAGCCCAGCCCACATATCGCAACGTGTACGAATGTTACTGGGAGGGGCTCACGTCACGTGCGATCCATCTCTTTCCCTCTACAGAAAGGAAACGTCTTTCCGGCCTGTTTGGAATTTCAGAAACCGGTTCACCAAACAAAAAACATTCAGAAACCGAAATTCCATTACCGGGGTAGCTATTTCCAGTTTGAGCCACAAATTCAAACTTTGCGCACTGGAAGTTGTTGCTGGAACAATTGCATACACAAAGTCTAACTGATTCATCTCACGTCGAAAGTGAACAAAATCGTGGTCTCAAGTCTAGGGATGGAACGGGTCGGGGACGGATAGTGCATATCCGTTATCCTATTCAAAGTAGTTCGGGCTTTATGCATATCCATACCCACATAAGAAACGGGTAGAACATTCAAACCATGCCCATACCCGTTCGGGTTTCGGGTATCCACGGTTATCCATGGGTAACAGTTTCTCTTTATAACTACAACCAATATGTTAATATTCACATGAATTCTCACGTTATGTAAGACGAAAAGTACGACAATAATTCACTAGAATGAAGAAAATTAATTAAAACAATATAATTTTATAAAATTATTATATTTATATACTAAATATAAAATATGTTAGAGAAAAATATTGATTATTTCTAGACAAAATACATATGCATGGGTATAATCGGGCGGGTTCGGGTTGGATAGTGAGAAAACCAAGCCCACCCATTAACCGTAATATTCGATTTCAGGTTTTACCCGTACCCACTAAAAGTCCTTCGAGTTCAGATTTTTCCCTACCCGATTAGATCGGATTCAGGCGGATATCCACGGTTACGGATATTTTTGTCATCCCTACTCAAGACTTATCAATGCACCACTGGAAGCATTAGTAACTTTCAGCATTGATAATTTTGATCTTACTTGTTTTCCCTGATCAGATTGACTTGTTTTGAGACAGATATGTAGGCGAGACTGATCAGTATGGTGTACTCTTCTCGAACCTGACTTTCTTTTAAAAAAGGGTTTCATTAAGAATGCATCGTCCAGGCTCAATAGAAAATATACAAGCATTGATCGATAGGGGTTGGGAAATCATAAACAACAAGGCCCAAACAAAACCCGAAACCAATAGGGCTCTAAGCCAATGACCCAAAACCAATCATTAACCCCGAACCCTAGCCACCTCTGAAAACCACGTCATCGTGGCTGAAAACTAGGGCTGGGAAACGGTCTGGTCTGGTCCTAGACCAGACCATATATACGGTGTATGGTCCCAGATCGAGAGGCTAAAGTATGGACCACAGACCAGACCACAAACTATACGGTCCGGTCCAGACCATGCCTGTGCGGTCTGGTTAGGTTCCTGGTCTGGTCCAGATAGACCACACTAACGAAAAAATGAATAATTTGTTTAGTCAATCACACAAAAATTGAAACCAATAACCAAGAAAAATAATTGTTATTTGCCTTAAAACATTAATCCTAACATGCATGAATAATTTTTGATACTCTAAATCTTATTACATAACAAAAGATACAAAGTAAAACATCCCAGCTTGCATCATAAACGTCATAAACATTAACATATGTCATATGGACACATTATTATCTCTACTCTCTGGTTAAAATGTGGTTGGAATGAAGGAGGGAAGAGATTCACAAAAATTAAGGTTGAGACTTGGGTGTCATTGTGGGAGTTTGGAGAGTGGTCGAATGGGCTGTTACACGTATTGACAAGTCAGTTGGTCCACGGTTTGGTCCGGTAAATCCACGGTCTAGGACCAGACCAGACCAAGAGATCAAATCATAAAATAATACAGACCATGGACCAGACCAGACCATACTTCACGGTCTACGATCCGGACCAAACTGTGACGGTACGGTTTGGACCACGGTTTTTCTAACGGTCTGGTCTATTTTTCCAACCCTACTGAAAAACCACAACTGGCGCTCGACCAGTCCAAGTAGTGTCGTCAATCAACAAACACCAGTGGCGGACCCAGAAATTTTACATAGGGGTGTCCTCTTTTAAAAAATAAATTAAATACAAATAATTCTAAAATAATTAATAAATAAGAAATAATATTTAATAAGAAATACCTTACTCATACAATCATACAGCTTGAAAAAATTCACGATGTGTTTTCATATTAAAAAATTATTGTAGAACACACTTGGGGTCTACACTGTTCAAAACTAATTGTCTCTGTATATCATATTAGACAATCATTCACGAACTGATCACATATTCGATTTCTAAACTTGTTCTTGATGTAATCCAAAGCTGAAAAGACTCTTTCAACACTTGTCGTACAACCATAAATCAATACAAATTAAGGGTAGCTTGAAATTTGTTTAATTGTTAGATTTTGAAAATAATTAGAGATAGAGGATGACATTATACTATTACACAGTGTTTAAATCGAATAACATATGAGTTGTAGTCTAATGGAAATTATGTTTATTAATAATAAAAGTGTCCTAGGTTTGAATTACCCAAACTACCACTTATATTCTCATACTCAAACTAAAAGATGAGAGTAGGATAATCACTTTTTTAAATTTAGGGGTGTCCCCGACTATCAATTATAATTTTTTTTCCATCGTAAATTACCACCGGGGGTTGGATAATCGTTTTCCCAAAATTTAGGGGTGTCCCCAAACACCCGTGGGTCCGCCCCTGACAGACACCACCACCAAACATCAAGCAAAGGAGCCGGTTCCACCCAACCCAGAAGATATGATGTGGAAGGCAGACCCTCCAAATAAACCACCCCGAGTCGAATCAACCATTCGCATCTCACTGCACGAAACTCATGAAAGAACACAAACCAATTGGTCGGCCGACGAAGGAAATAGAGGAGTGACGATCTTCTGTCTTCAAGCTCACCAAACTGAGTCCAATGCCAAGGGCTGTATATCCAAAACATAGTTAGTAAAATATAGTACGGGAAAGTTACGTATAAAATATGTATGGGTATTTTACTTCGTCTCTATGCTAATGTTACGTTTAATAATACGTTAATTGTCATAAATATAGAAAAATTAATCATTATAAAAATAAATAAATATATTAATAATAGTAAAGTTAGTAATTTAATTCATTAAATACGGATATTAAACGTGTTATACGAGTTTTATACGTGTTTAATACGGGAGTCATCAAATGAACGGGCAAAAATGAAACAGCTTGACAATAATACAGATACGGAAGTTTTAAACGGATAAAGTACGTACGGGTACATATACGTGTATTAAACGGATTATTTACTAACTATGCTCCAAACCACCTGGATTTGCAAGGCGAGAATAAGGAGGTAGACCAAGGCAACACGAGGAGAAGATAAGTCAGGTATGTACTGGAAAGCAACGCACAAAGAGAAAAGGACAACCACAACAAAGGAAAGACAAAGTAAATATGTGGCTGGAAACAACACATTAGAAGAGGAGAGAGCTGATCAGGAAAGGGAATGAACGGGAGGCGGAGTGGCACTGACATCAGCCCCCTCGGATGCCTGAAAGGAAGGGTTTTCTAGAGAGGTATCATCGACCTGACTTGATTTCCCCCTTTCTCCACCTGTTTTATGCCTAAATTACATGTAATTTTACTCAAATTATTTAGGATTTTTCATTTAACTCATATTTTAGTTATATTAGAGTGATAAATAGGTGAAAACCTCAATTTCTCAAATAATTTAATTAATTTACCTTATTATAGCTTGTTTCTTTAGTTTTTAATGAAAATTGTATATTTTTAATATCTTCCTTTTTAATTACATATATATATATGAGTCAACCTGCTCGATCAACACCACGTGATAAATTACCCGACCTGTACTCGACCTGTCACAAGAGGGGTGTCAGGTCGGAAAATACATAAAATAATCGACACTAAACCTCTGTTTCTCTTGTAGTGAGTTAGGTCAAAAAAATACCCATGTGGATACAGTGCGGGACGGGTCGAACGATCCTTATATATTATTTGAAGTAAAGAACGTCGATATTTAACTCTTTACAAGAAGACAAAAAGAAAGCATTTCATTAAATGAATAATAGCAACAATAAAAGGAGCAATTTAGTCTTCATAATTGAAAGTTGGAGTTTTAAAATTTATTTGGTATTTAAGTATGAGTTTGGAAAAGTCAAAAAAAGATAAATATAAGTAGATATTCATGAAATTCATGATAGAATGAGACGCGACATGATGAGCAGGTCATAAATAGTAATCGCGCCTCCTTTATGGTATAACGGAACATATAATATTAGTCTAAATCGATATCGGATTGCACAAGTAAGTTCAGAAATTGCACACAAGCCTATTACGGGGTTGAGTAGTGATGGCAATGGTAACCCCGTCCCATACTATTGCGGATCGGAGCGGGTAAAACCAGTGCGGGTACAGGCCACGGGGTTGTGTGGGTCGAGCCACTTTTACATTTTATTTGAAAAAATACACACACTTTTAGTTTTTACAATAAAATGAATGAAAAATCACTTTATGAATGAAAAATAGTGATAATAGAATGGGTAATTGAGTCTAACAAAGTGAAAGGTCGCCTCTAACTAGTTGAAGTAAAGTCAAAATAGGATAATAAGATAAATATATGTATAGATTTGATAAGAATTTGAGATAGAATGAATAAAGGATGGGGTGAGGCAGGGCGGGTCGGAAGTCAACACCCATGCTACGCCCCACGCTATTACTGGTCAAATAATACCTACCCTTTTGCGGATCAGATCGAGTAATACTCGCTAGACGGGTTCAAATTGCCATATTGAGTCGTACAATACAAATATTACGTGGATTGGATGGAATCAACGTTTCTTCGCCCAAATTCTCACTGACCAATTTCTTTCCCCTTCCCAAATTAATCAGTTTGGGTTCATGATATCTATGCAACCCTAACCTCTAA